CCCCCCCAGTATTGAAAAATCACACAACTGCACGTGACAGTTGGAGGCGACTGTAACTAGATCATTCGCCTCCAGGGTCAGAGTTAAGAAACAAAATGGTTGAAGAAAGTTTGTATGGTCAAATTGCATTAACAAACAAAGTGAACTTTTTGTTTACTTAATTAGGTGCCCTCAGGCCCCTAGCTGTCCTTTAAAGTACTCAACTTGCTGAATGGGAAGGAAGGAGGGGAAGGAAAGAAAAGAAGGCTAGAGAGGGAAGTTCTTTGCTAAACACGGCGGCAAACAAACCACAAAAAACCCACTAAGCTCTTGGATTCCCAAAATGTGAATCAATATTTGAACATGGAAGGCAAACAGCCACCTCTAATTCTCAAGCCCTCATCCACCCAAGAGTAGCTGGATTAGCAATCACGAGTCGTTCAAGCCACAAAACATCAGATAAGGCCAAGACACCGATGCAAAAAAAGAGGCGGAGCAACTCACCTCAATAAACTGTGAGGTAGATGTTGTTGAACACGACGATGAAGATGCAATCGGACTCGGATGCATAGAAAGGTAGGCTCTGTTGAGGCATTCGTTGCCAGCCAGGGTGGAGCACCATACTCCGTGCTGAATAGAGAGCATTACATGCCTGGTGGAATTCGACTTAATCACGAAGTAGCGTGTCCGCCACACCAAACTTGGATCCAATTCTGGTGGATTTATTCTTAAAAGCATCAAAAAGGTAACAATGAAATACAAGAGAAGGACGAGGAGTTCAAAGCAAGAAAACTCTGCTGGTGCCGTATGCGCACGACAGCCAACTAGACACGTCAAACTCATTCCAAGACCTACCCAGGACACAGACGCGCCAGTTCCTCTGGATCAAACTCTGTCTGATGCAACCGAGAGGCAGCAGCAGCAGCTGCCGCAGCTGCAGCAGCCGCTGCAGCGACGGGATTTGAGGCTGGATGGTGGTGTTGATGATGGCCGTGTCGATTTTGTTGATGATGGTGTTGCTGCTGTTGCGCTGCTGTGGTTCCTAGAGTTCCATAGAGAGTTGGAAAGGGCGATGACGACGCCTGCGATGATGGAGATGCTGTAGGATAGCCCCAACCAGCGTATTGGATGGGTGAATAGGTTCCACGTTCACTGGGGACACCACTTCCACCACCACCGCCACCAGTGCTACTATTAGCAGGACCACAGAGACACATGTTTTGAATAGCCGTAGCCAAATCCGAGTAATAACAGTCCTGCAGAGCTGCCGCCGAATGGTGATCTTCTCGGGGTTGGACAGTTTGTGGTGGTGCTGGTGGTGGTGGTGGAGTAGGGTGACTCCTTGAGTACCAAGCGAGATGGTGACGAGTCGTCCAGTAGGGATCTGTAGCGATTTGCGGAGCAGTGTAGAGTTGGAGGTCTACGGGGTAACAGGAAGCAGCGGCAGCAGCCGCAGCTGCAGCAGCAGCGTAATATTGTTGTTGTTGCTGCTGTTGGCGCTGATCTGCTGTGAGAAAGGCGTTGTAGTAGTTGCCGTTGGTGCTACCGTCGGTGTCTAGGTTGCGGCTTTGTGGAAATGAATCGGCTATTCCGTAAACCGGTGGTGCTGATGCCTAAAAGCGGGAAGAAGTGGATGACTCTACATCTTCCACACACCCACAAAATGCCTTAAATGAAGCAACTTCTGAAAATGCGAGCCTTTTCTACTGCTTTTCCTCCAAAAAAGGCTTCCCAAAGTCCAGTGAATTTAGATCTTACAGAAGTCCTGGTGACGAGATATACACCGCCTGTGAAGACTAGAGTCAATTGCTCCGCACAAGGAAGCAGGCGAAACGTAACCAAGCTAAAACGCATTCTAAGAAAAGAGATAGCAAATTGCTGCCAAGACATTGTGGGGAATGAGTTATGTTTCATGGGCAACCGAATCGGGGAGTCTTGCTAAGGGATAGATTTCCGGTTCCACTGTTTAGCTCCTTCTGGACCCGATTGGCTGCCCAAACGCCTTGCCTCAAGATGGTTGTCAGGTCGTCTTTAAAATTTGACAGATTACCGACTTGAGGTCAGCATATTTGACGTCCGAAGTGGGGACGGAAGCAAGATGACTTGACTTCCTCTAGACTCTGCAGCCCATCAAATATTTATCGTTAAGATGTGGATTTTAGTAATGAGGAAATTAAATGCTCCTCTACTGCACCTTCACCGAGTTACCTGACCTTTGAGCCATGCCAGCAGATCTACTCTCTTCTCTACACCGAAAACAGGCAATCCATTCAAGCATTATGTCGTTGGCTGCCTTTGGAGAAGCCTTAGAGTACTACGGCATGCAATATTATCTGATGTGATGGTCGTGCCTTGGCTGATTGGTACATGAAATATGGGGTGAAGAAAAAAATTTCCATCTTGGGATTACTAAATCTGGAAATAGTGAACCTTATGAGTGAGATTAATCCTTAGAATGCGCTTACCAAAGGAGACAATGAACTACACCAAGTCATCTTGACTAGGAAGGCGGACTCTTCAAACCAACGACCACAACAAGGCTAGAACTGAGCAAATGAAGCACCACCACTGTCAATGACAAAAGAGGCACGTCCTTCAATTACACATGAAGTGACCTGTGGTGTTCTCGGCTTGGGAGCTATGGCGTCTTCTCCAGTTCTTGTGCCTTAGGAGAGGGACCGTTGAAGCAAGATCTCCCAACTACATATATGTAAACACGAAAACTAGTGCCTTCACGTATGAAGGCGCTGAGACAATGGCAGCAGCAACACTGCAGGGATGGCGACAGCAGCTGATATTTGACTTGTGCCAAGGGTGATTGGCGCGTCGAGTGGATGGTTAACTAGCGAGAGAATGACGCAGATCCAGCGAATGTGTGTGTGTGTGTGTGTGTGTGTGTGTGCAGTCTTGCTAGCGTGTGATGCTGTGTTTGCATAGCCTGCGCGCTTGGTGGCAATCAATCGATGCCTCGCATGCCGCCCCGCGCTTTACACCGCCCCTGATCGCCACCGACACCGCCGCCGCCGCCGCCGCCGCCGCTGACTCGGATCAGATGGGCACATCGAGGTGTCGGCGCAGAAGGAAACAAAATCCAACTCCCAGCCCCGACTGATTCACATGACCACTCCACACACCCACACACATGCACAAACTACACATCCGAATGCCAGGAACCAGCAGTTAGAGGATGCTGTTTGACTTTCACACGCGATGAAACGGCAATTTAAGGGAAAGGTTCTAGCCCTTGCAGTTCGTTCCAGACCCTTCAGATGACTACTTCACTTGGGAGTTAATGAAGCCCTCACAAGCATGCAAAAGGCCCCAACCGTTTTACTTGCCAATGGTTCAACGAAAGAAATCGTCTTGGTACAATTACTCCAAAAAACGGTTCGATGACTAATTACCGTCTAATACCAAATGGCGCCGAAGTGCTCCTGAATCCTGTGAGGATGTTAAAACTAGTCACAGATATAAGTAAACATGCTCAGTAAAGGAACTCCAGCTGTACCAGCCAACGCCGCCACGATGTATGAAAAATTTATGTTTTTAAGCATTGCAAAACAATGCCATTGACCGTTAACTGTGTGCCCTATGGAAGTCTTCCATGGATACATCCACCTACTTACCACGCAGATTTACCAGTTAGTCAGAAGAGCACGAAATTAACCAAACGCCAAATGAGCATTCAACGTTAATGATTATGGATAGTCTTGACAATAAGCAAAAAGACAATTGGAAGACGGAAGCAAATCGTTTACAATCGCATGGAGACTCGGGAGTCGGCAAATAGATGAAGAAATTTCAAAATGTCAATGGATGCAATGGATGGCAAATGCGAAGTGGTTCAAGGGGGCGCACTTAAAAGGTCGTCTACATATTGAACATTGAATCTAGCCGACTAGAAGACAATCCCAAGTATACGAATGGTTCTTCGAGCACGAAGAAGAGATTGAATAGCAACTCCATCCCCATCTCTCCCCTATAAGGCCCATTTTCATCCATCAATGTCTGTGTCACCGCATTTTCAGAGCTGGAAATTACACTATGTTGTCTGTGATATCCGAATCTTGCTTTGGAGCATCACTCTCAGCACATCATTTCGCCTCTATCGGAAAGAAAGGATCGTTTCACTATGACGATTCTTCGTGCACTATGCCTAGATGGTGAGTTATCCTACTGCCACACCTGCCAGAGCTAGGCAACAAATCCGACGAAAGTCTGGTTCTTATGGTCTTAAAGTCGAGTCGAAACACAGTGAACAAACGAGACAAGATCGAATGAGAATGGGTCATAGAATGGGGATTCAACATGAGAAGCCCTCACCACACCAGGATAATGGAGATTCAGCTTAAAAAATACTCAAGCCATTCAGATAGATGAAACAGCCGGCTATAAAAGACTTTCAACCATTAGCCTCTCCATTCGTTCACTTGCCTGCTCAAGTGCCAACTTTTCTTGGGGGGTTGTGATGATAGAAGCAGCTTTTAAAGGATTTGATCCCACTGTCAAAACCTCACTAGTTCCAGTTGAAAAGTGCCTAAGCCACAAAACCCATTATGATGACTACACGAAAGCATAAGACTTATCTCAAGGCTAAAAGTCCGAATGTATACTTTAAAAAATGAAACAGTTACGTTGGCACAGAAAGCCGAGTACTCAAATCAGCGTGTTCCAAAATCATGTTGTGGAAAATAAGAAGTGGGTGGGAAAGGCCGCATCACAAGCTCATCACGAAAAGATGGACAAAAAATTTACTCACAGCAGTTGGTGCTGCTTCCACACCAGCTTGCTGAATCTGGACTTGTTGCTGTTGATGACGCTTCTCCTGAACCAGCGGTGATGACAACCGACGCTTCGGGATGTTGTTGTTAGTCGTCGGTGTTGTCGAAATGGCGCCCACAGCGGCGGCGGCGGCGGCTGGAGTGGATCTGCTGCTGCTGGAGGTGGTAACAGTGGTGGGAGCCACTTGTGGAATGGAGGCGTCCTGCGTAACCAGTGGAATAGTTGAAGGTGAAAGTTGGTAGGCACCACTTGGGTCCAACATCTGTTGTTGGTAGGCCTCGGGTAAGGGATACTGAAGGTATTGTGCTAAAATGTCAAAAAGGCTGAATCAAATTATCCAAATATGGGTAAACCTGAGAATGTCCATCAGATCAATGACACTCCCACTTCACGAGCCAACAAACCTCCTCCACCAACCTCTATTCCATTTGCAAGCTTTCTATTCTAATGTCACGCGTGGCCGAGTTATTGCCTACTGCCTTCACAGCTCAAAAGACAACACTAGAATGCATACGATAAGAGACAGGCGGTCCCAAAATAATGCTTAGAATCGGACAACGGTTGCGCTGAGTGCGTTTCAAGCCCGAATGTTTGATACTTAGCAAAAACTTCGTAATAAATAATTGTGTTTGCTGTAGGATGGATGGATGGAGTGGTAAATGAATGCCTTAGGTGTGATCAAAGGCTATTTTGGTCACCTAACTAAACTTAGGGTACAAAAGCCACTTTGCCTCGCAAATGAATGCACGGTACGTTTAAAAAGGCGTTGAGGCTTATCATCATCCGCTAATACATGTGGGGGTGGAAGTCGTTTGCTTGGCTTCATATGTATAGCTTGACTCTACCCTGCACCAATGCAGACAATTTTATTGGTGTAAGGGGATGTTCTAGGAGGGAAGTGCAGAAAACAAATGGCTTAATGCACCACCAGTTTTCCAAACCACCAATAAATTTATAATTGAACTGCCCGATAATATATTTAATAATTAAAAGAAAGCTCGACGCCTTACATACGCGGAGATCGTTTCCAATTTTTTTGTCGATTCAGAAAGACCTTTGTATTAAAGGACCGGGTGTTTTGCTAGAGACGAAGGACATCATAGTGCCAATTGAAGTTGCAGAGGACCAACAATAGAGCCAAGGAAACAAAGCCTACTTTTACCAACTACAACTAAGCAATAATGGGTACAACATAAGTTCGTTGAATGAAGGGCACCAAAGTGGCGCAATCGCAATTGAGGAATAAATTAAGAAAATGTTAACGAAAGATTTGCTCTGTGAAAACGTTCTAAACGAATTCCGACCATCACTAAATGCGCGAGTGGTGATCCACCACCCAACTTCAAAACCGCCTACAGGTTTGGCAAAAATGAGTGCTCCTAAGCATTTTGAAATCCGGAGGATTGCATTAGATAGCTAAGAAGAAAAGCTTAAAATCAGAAGGAAGTGGGAAGGAGTAGAGGATGACGAGTACGATTCTGAGGATTCACACGAAACTGTTCTTAAATGGGCAATTAATATTAAGAAACAAGGGAAATGCGGGCCCATATCTGCAGTAGTAGCAACGCGAATAACGAAATTCAAAGGGACGACCTAAAATTAAGCCCATTATACACCTCACAGTAAGCAAAATCAGGCCGCCACTCGTCTCCACTCCAGGTACATCAAAGATGACAATTTTCCAAATAGACAGTTTCATTTTACCATGCAAGATTCCACTGACTTCGAAGGTCAAGGAAAGGCACAATAAGAATTATGCAAAAAAACTAAACACAAACAACAGTTCACAGCCACAACAAGAAGCATTTGACGTGTTCTGCATCGCAGACCATCTACTTTTCCAAGATTCACTTTTAATCCATTACCCTCATCCTTACTGCCATAGAAAAATATTCCAAACTACGCAGAAAAATTAAGACAGTGCAGATAAGGCGAAGTATTATCAAAACAAAACTCTTCAACTTTTGCCAAAAAAGGCTTGTTCAGCTTGCCAAACCACGTAGGAACACAGTTGAGGAAGACAATACATCGCACCAGGATAATAATTAGACTAAAAAAAATCACACTCTAATATGCTTTATAAGAGATCGGAAGAACTTCATCGCAGATGACTCATCCCAACAGTTAGTGATTTGATTTTTTGGCATTTGATATTGCGTCACTAATGTGTGTGTGCGTAGGTATAGAGAGCGACAGCGACTACAAGTAGTGCATTTACTCTGACGAAAAACACACTCCAAATCTCGATGTAGGCGATGCGATAAAATTACTACCTTGCCCAGAGAACAATCAGGACTCGTTGCTAGGCAATAGGACACAACTAAACTCAATGCCTGACCCAATCTCAAACCTTTCCGTTTATGACGAGGAAGACATTTAACCCAAGTCCACGAAAGCACTTTTATAATGCTACCCAACATAGCATTCGGGACAGCGATGAGACGGGATATCCAAGTAAGATTGAAGGCCAAAATGAGACAAATTGAACAAAATCATTAGAAACTTACGACAGTAATAAGGCAGCTGTCCAGTGGCAACGGCATAATCTAGGAAGGATGGGGCGGGCATGGCAGCAGACTGGGTGACTCTGTCCCGGGAGGTGGTTGCGTAGGGTGATGAAGAGGAGGAGAGAGGGGGAGAAACATATTGGTACATAAAAGCGGCATCAGAAGAGGCATTGATTTGCTGAGTGATACCACCACGCATATAGGCACCTGCAGCAGCAGCAGCAGCGGCTGTAGCGGCGACATTTAAGGGGACAACGTTACTCGAACTTGAGGGATTCACAGTTCCAGAGCTCGCCGCAGAGGCATCGTAGGAAACCGAAGACATCATAATCCAATCAAAAGTCGAAAAAGAGTCTTAGAAATGGGAAAAGAAGAATAAGGTTACTGGTCCATTTGAAGTTATGTGCAATTGTTGCAAAGCGGTACGTTTAAACGTACTCCAAGGACCATAAGCGCTCAAATGCTAACATAGACAGCTAGCATAGAATGCAAGCGCAAGAAAATGTGAGGCAGAAATTATTGTACGGCAACAGTTCCGTAACGACTTACCGACATCGTCAGAAAATTACAAGTCCCGGAAAAATCGTTAAGGAATTTAAAGTAGGAACAAGTTTTCAAAGAAAATAAGTGCGTTTAACTGCGTGGATATAAAAATCGAATTTTATTGTCCATAAATATCAAACGAAAGACTTCCCTTATTTAAGAATATCATAGCTTAAAAATTTTAAGGGTTAATTTTTCGGAAGCCAATGCTGACATTTGGCTTATAAAATTTCCGCTATTACTCATTATGACAGAATTTATTTTGTAAAGCTAGGCACGGCCATTTACAAGTATCTATTTATCAACACGCAGTGGATTTGTAACGGAATTATATGGATGGGCAAAAGATACATCAGGGATTTGGCATATGTGTTTGTTCAAACAAGTGAATTTTCCTCTTGCGGAACCTAACTTTGGCTAAGAAAGTCGAAATTAGGAACGTAGTATTTCTTTGCTTTCTGAGGAAAATATGTCTTCAGTGCAGCGCTTCTATTAGTCACTCCAAAGAACTAAAGCTGGTGTCTTTACTCCATAGCATTGCGAAGTTTTTGTATTTAAGCCTAGTAGGCCATCAATAGTTCTGACATCCACCTTGATCCTCGATTCTGGACACCTTGAAACTTTTGCTGCAATTAAAATATATTTTGCGAGGCTCACTTGCATACCCTTCAGAAAATGATACGGTGGATTTGTTTAATGGGTTGCGAATTCATTGACTCAAGGTTATTCACTTAGCCTTGAGAACGCCCTGCAAGTTTGTGGTTGAGTGGTTTGAGTGATCAACCATTTGGACTACCCTTCGTCGCCGCATGCGCCATGCTTTACTGCTTGAATATTTTGTAAGCGTTCATAGCAAGTATCTTAGTGAATCCCATGCCTTTTTTACGCCTTTTCCACTACTAATTTCGTTAACTTCATAAAACTTGTTATATTATTAGCTTATTCGTTAAGTTCGAATTTTATTTAATGCTATCTTGCAGTTTATTTATGTGTGTTAGAAAAAAAAGCAGCAGTTCGGGGTGGTGGCGACTTAGTTGTCAGATTTATCGATGGTTTTATATCTATTTTATGGAGTTATGGCCTTTACAATTGTTAGCTTTTGAATTCGTATGTAAGAAAGTGATGACCTCGTTTCCTTTCTAGATCGTATACCATGCGCTAGAAGATTATGACAGTTCTATCACTTCTGAATCTACTCTTTTCTATTGTATATGTTCACGCTGACAACCCACATTGCGAAGGAAGCATGTCGGCAGCAACCATAGTAGGTTTCGTATTCGGTGGCATCATTGTCGGCCTCCTCCTCAGTATGTCGAATTCGCTGTTATATATTCAGTCATTCCCAACTACATTAATAATATCATTCTTGCAGTTGGCATGTTTACCGCCTGCATGGCGTGTTACAAAACGCGCCTTCGCCAACGAAGAGATAAGATGTTGACTACGGCTCACGAAACACACCCATCTTTGGAACCTACTTCAGCACATCAGTTACCATTGCCGGAACCAACGTCGAGCTACGATTCACATTTTTCGCCGCATCCTCTCGATCCTCCCTCACTTTCTTTTTATGATACACAAAGCCAGTCGTATCCTATTACCAACAACACAATTTACCCTTCATTATCGGGCTATATCCATCAAAATCCGATGACAGTGCCTTCGCATTCAATTCACTTCCAACCGGAATGTCCTATCGAACCGCGCATTGAAAGGCAGAATGCTGTCTTCGCAGCAGGTAGGTCCACTACTGCCCCCGGTTTTTCCATCATTATTGGGCGTTCGATTACGTAAAGACGTTCCCGAAGCTTCTGACTCATGGTAAAGCAGAGTACACAAAGGGGAATCACTTTTCTTCTGCTCAACACCTGTAAGGTAGGCGTGTTTCACCCCTTCTCAATAAGCTCTTATTCGCCCTTTATTTTCTTCCGAGTTAAAACTTGCGTTGGTTAAAGCTTTACTCTTGCAACGCTTAGTTGATCGGATTGTCAGGAGTATTCTAAGCGAGTGAGGACTCTGTAGAGTGTTTATGTTATTGCTGTTATGCAGCTCATTCTATTTCGTTTAGTCTTGTTGAATTTGGTAGCAGTTTTTTTTGGCAAGTATTTTTAAACCCTTTAGCAGTGATTCAGTTTTACGTTGGGAAATGAGTCAACGTAGATGTGATGCGGGAAGGGAAGAAAGAGGTTTGGTTTGACATTGTCGCAGGCAAAAGTCGCGTCATGGGGCAGAAACAAGACCCAAGGAAAACATTTTGACTTGAGTTTAGACATCATTTACGGCATCAAAAGCGAACCTTTTTAACTCTAACTATGAGTTAACTTTAATCGCTACTTACCCTGAGAAAAATACAAGCAAGCACAAAGTAGCGTGGAGGTTTAGGAGCTCTCCATAGTGAAAAAAAATCAACTTAAAGTTGAGCTAGTTACTAAATGTGTCGTGTGATTTGCAATACTTCATAGAGGAACTGACATCACCTCTTGACACCTGTTCAGTCTCTTATCGCTTCTAAATGGTGGGATGAGTTAACCAAATGGACGCTCACAGCTCCGTCTCTTCAAATTTCTTATTAAATTGTATGAAAAGGAATCTCGTCCTCATTATATGCATTTGGGCCTCCAGAGTAGGGCACCGTGCATTTCTTACTCCGTTGTAAGTAAGTTTGTATGCCGCCTTGGCAACAGCGCTAGGAGTGGTATAATAAAAGCCGTACTTTTTTGTCTCTTTTATTTTCCCTAGCAACATGTGGTAGTGGTGTTGGCTTTGTATGGAGTTTGTGTTATGCCTTTAGTGGCTGTCTGACCCGTCACACGGTGCCTTGCCTGCCGCTAGGCAGAGTAGGCACAGTGCGATGGATGAATGTGCCTGCACCTACTCACTTGTGCTGAGGCATCTGGAGAGGCGAGAAATTGGCTAACGGTACTATGAAATGCACACAGAATTCTGCTTACTCAGATGGGGAGACGTAGCATTTAACACATTCTCCTTAATTAATTCAGCGTCTTATAAGGAAGTATGGGTGGTATAATGCAGACAATGCACTTGGAGCGAGAAATATTTTCTCTTCAGTGCATCTTGCCGGGCAATCCATCCATCACTTCAGTACAAGGTTGGTGTATGTTCCCACAACTTCCGTCAAGGCGACAAGAGTTGTGTGGACAGGAGGTGTTAGGGCTAAAATGATCACTTCCGGTACACAACTATTTCCAACTCGTCGTCATTTATTTCCATAGTTTTGGTGCTCTGTTGCGCACCGTTCTAAGCGCTCTTAGACACATGGTGTCTTACTTCAAAGACATTTTGACCTGCAACGCACTTCTTCTTCGGGTCGTTGCACATCGAGTTCACCACTAAAAAGACCTCTATGCACCAACTGCACTGTATTCATTGGATTTACCACGTCTCCATGGCAATCATGCTAATTGACTTACTACTGAACATTGTCCTAGACCTCCTGTCTCCAATTTCCCTCTTCAGTCATTAGTTAATTTGCCTTGATGTGACGTCTCTCACTCGCCGTTCGATGCATGATTGTGAAGGCGACCGTCTAATCAACCGCTTATGTGAAAGTGCGTTTCACCCTACGAAGTTGGGTGAAAGGGACAGGTGGATGAATGTGCGTTTAACGCGAGTCACGACAATTGTTCCAACCCTTTATTACCCACCGCCTTGAAAGTCAATCTCGACCCTCTGTCTCCCACCTTGCAAAGTGTGCAAGATTGGAGCAAGCGAATTATTCAGTTCTCACAATTGTTAGTCAGTCACATGCGTGCTCTGTCGTATGACAAAAGGAAGGCACCAGAATCGTGAGCTGCATTTCTACTTCGGAGCCGAAGAGTCGGCCACACTGCAGCAACGAGAGGAGTAGGGGCGGGGCAGCTAAAGAGGAGAGAGAAGGGGTTCCTCTTTCAAGTCACTTTAAAAGAGGTACACACACACACAGAGCGAGAGAGGGTGAGTGAATGTGAAGAGCAAGGAGGGCGAGGGGAGAGTTGTGGAGTGAGGATGTCTATGTTTAACACTCACACGTGATGTTAACCTTTGAAGTCACTAAGGTGAACTGATCCATTTAGTGGAGGTGGTGGTGGTGGCGGCGATATGTGAAGATGAGTAGGAGGGTGGGGAGGAGGAGGCGGCAGCGGCGGTGTCAAAAACTGAAGGATGGGAAGCTCGAATTCAGATCGGAAATATTTCAACATCCAGTTCCATTTTGAACCACCGTCGATGCAGTTGCTTCGATTTTAATTCGTGCATCAACGAGCCACTTTTTGTGCCAAAAAAAGGCAAATGGGGAGCGCCCATCGTCCCACCTTCAGTGATTGAGAAACGTTGAGTTGTGAGTGGACTGTTTTGTTGATTAGGTGGGTGAGGGCGTCACGACCTTGACTTTCGGACTCTGAGAGGTGATGGCATTAGGTACGGCTCATACACGGTCCACTCACCCACTGACTGAGGGTATCAGCACGCCATGGCAAGTAGACTGCGGTTGGGAGGAAGGAAGTCGAAGACGTCTCGCCGTGTCTGTGAGTCATTTCCTTTTGTCAAAAGCCTTCGTGGAAAGGTTCGCAGTTTGGAGAGTCTAAGCCTTCTCCATCATTACACTTAGTAGATTTAGAAGTGGTATCTTTCTTTGCATACACATGGATACTTAATTGCTGCTGGTGGATGTCATGAAGGTGGATTCCTTTTCAACTCTTCCCTTTCGGGTCTTCCACTCCCCCTTATCTCCGCTGCCTTGTACAGAAGTACTGCTTCAAGTCCGACGCACACTTGCTCAAGGTATATTGCAGCTAAACAGTCAAAAAGGGTGTCAGTCAGTGAGAGGGCGCGAGTGTTGACAAGGCAAGGTCAAGAGTAGTTCATGCATTTTGAGGACACTGTATGCTGTTGGCTTGAGGTGAGAAGGGAAGAAGAGGGTGATTTTGGGACATGTTGAATGAACTGGAAGGAAGTGCACGGAAAGGTTTTATTCCATCTGTTTTTTTGGTCGCACAAAGAATTCGTCACTAACACCAGGAAACGTTATGTGAGCCGAACACCATGAAGCAGCTCTGCCCTCCTCGTCGTCCACTCCACGAACCCTTCCTCGTTGGACTGTACATACGTATTGCATGACGTGAGGTGACGGTGGGTGATGGGCTCTTGGTCACCGTCACACAGCTGCACGTAGACTGAAGATGCACTTCCGTGTTAATGCTTGTGCTTTGGACACCGAGAAGGCTGGATGCGTTCCCTTGTACCACAAAAGAGCCACGACCTCACGATATTTACAAGCACCTCGTTGGTGGACTAAAACTGTGTTAGGTTACTTGGACGGCCTCATGTGGGAATGGGAGGGGAAAAGTGAAAAGATGTAGCTGTTGGCTTCTGCTTCAATGCATACATATAGACCATCCGCCCAGGCGAATGGTTCCTCGTTCTGCTTTCCTTCTGGTTGGCAGGAGTCTCAAATCTCATTCACCATGAATCGTTCATTCCATTATCCTGCGACGTGCTAGCTTGACTCCAGCACACTGGTCTGTCGCCGTCGAATGTCTCACAGACCATGCTCCTGTGATGGCTCTCTATGTGGTTTGAAAGCCGGAGAAGTAAAACTTGGTTTACCTGCATCAGAATCCCTTCACCCACCGTCCTCCACTCAGACTGTGTGTCTGACTGCATACCCACTGTGCGTTGGTATTGAAAAGTCTTCCCACAAATGGTGTGCGGCTGTGGAATGTGGCTTTCAGCCCAGAATGCCAAACCTAATGAGGGCGCCTTAAAATAGCTCAGTTCGTGGTCTTGGCCTGCAATGTGCACCCGTTTTCCGCATTTTTTGATAAAGCGAATACACTTTCTTGTGTTGGGTGTATCTAGAATGGGAAAACTCACGCAGCCATCCTTACACCCTCTCTGTACTTTCCTAGACTCTGCAGTCCGATACTACTGACCATGCGTCAATTGCTCCATCATTGCGATCACCTTCTTGTAGGCGTCGGGAAGAGTGTCTCACTTGCCTTAGGTAAGAGTATGTTGCTTCTCAAGGGCACAATTTTTCGCTAGAAGAGGGAGACGAGCGAGCAAAGGAGGGAAGAAGAGAGGGAGACAGAGGTGGAAGGGATGGTAGGAGGGAGAAGGAGTAGAATGCAATGCTGCCTTGTCACAGCATCGACCAAGGTACAGTGCTGTTTTCTCAAGGCTGCATCCTGATTGGCTACTCGCATTCTCACTTCCCTCAACACACTATGCATGTGGTGGGTTTAAGCACGTTCCACTCATCTCTTTCCACCCTCTGTGCGTTCTCTTGCATTGGTGTGAAGTGTAATGGGTTGCCTGCTCGTAGAAGTCGAAGTATCCATCTATTAACCTTGGCTAGATCCCGACGCTACCACGATCACTTGTGAATTCACTTACAAATTCGCTTCTCTGAGGCAGTCTCAGCGAATTGCTGATGCCAACTTCTTTGTTACTGAGAGTTGCTTCCTCCAATCATCATCAGTATCAGAACGTTGAACAGCACTTCAATGTTGCACCTCTTCCACCCACGGATTGACAATCCTGCACTCTCTTGAAGGCGTGGAATGGAGTGGCGTGGCGTGTGACAGTGCTGCTAACCTTGACGCCTACTCCAAGCGTCATGTAGAGTTTGGGGGCAAGTGAAAGCGCTTAGCATGGCTCTGAGGGTCAGAGGAGGCATCGTCTCACGAAGTTTGGTAAATGGACGTGAGAGGTGGTTGGAGCCGTCGAGGCAGTGCAAGGCTGAAGTATTGAGGACGGCGGATGAAATGCGTGATGGTATCGGCTCTATGTAAAGGGGAAGGAAGGAAGGAAGGAGAAGAAGCATGGAAGGCGATTGGCTGTTGGTGGGAGGTGCAGTTCCATCGTCCTTCACTTGAGCTGGAGGTAACTTCCGTGAATGTGACCCCTTACGGCATAATTTTGTGCCCAGTGCCATCATCTCTCTCCCCTTCCACCATCCCCTCCAGGAGGATAACAATGAAGTATCCACCTGCTTTTCCTCAAAGGTAGTCCACAACGCCCAGCAAACTATGCATTGTTCTCCGTACTGTATGCTAATGAACTGTCATGTCATTGTCATCCATGTATTCTTCGCCTCCTCCTCCACCTCCTTTGCATAATGTCAATCTCAACATCTCCAACGTGCTACAGCAGGAGGCAGTGACATTGGACTCCCAAAGACGCCAGCTTGGCTTCACAGTGTGTGTTAGAAAACGAAGTGGTGTTGTAGGGCTTTACTGACACAACTTCCATATTTTGGCACTGAGAGTGGAAAACAGTCGCAGCTGAAAATTTTTGGATCACTCAGACGATCGCCTTCCTGCTGATGGCGCAAGTCATGAGTTGGAAGGAGGGATAATCGAGTCACGAGGAATGGAATGCAGTGAAATATGATTAAGGTGAATTGAAATAACTAAGCTCCTCAATGATTTTGTAGCTCCAATCGCCTCTCTGGAGTCAATACCGAATGAGGACCTCTCCGACGGATCCATCTATCATCGGTTCTTTGGCTCCGGTTCCAACATCCCCAAGTCGTCGCCTGCTCCATCATCAGGCTATCCTCCATTACCACTACCACCACCCCTACCATTACCAAGACCACCACCTCCTCCGCCACCCATTTCTCCCACCACCTCCTCTAACATTGCCAGAAGCAGTCGAATCTCAAATATTCTGCGAGATGCAGCAAGACTGCTGAGGTTGGGAGGCGACAGCCATCAGCACGAGGATACGGTGATATTGGAGGATGCAAACTCGTCGGCACCGTCAGGTGTTGCATCGACCACTCAGTCCAACCTATCGGGAAGTCAGGTGAGGCTGTTCAAACAACAGAGGAGGCCGAAGCGATCGAGCGCAATGGGTGCGGGGCTGGATGTATCGAGGATAGGAGGGAGAAAGAGAGGAAGAAGGAAGAGGAAGAGGAGCAAGGTGTCTGCTGTGACCCAAGACTCAGGGCATTGTAACATCTTCGATGTGACGGTGAGTTGCACCACTTGGGAATTGTCACACTTGACAAAAAGTTGAGTGAGGATGGGGGTTGGGGAGCATTGACAAGTGAGAGGGTCATTGCTGACCGCTGATGACTTTGATATTGTGTCCTTGGCGTGGACAGGAATTGGACGAGATGGAGCCCTCCGCGGACAATGACCACTTCCTCCTCTCCCTCGAGTCGGCCGTCTTCACCACCGCGCCCACGTGTGGAGTTGTGACAACAGCGGTGGCTCCGCTCTACTCACCCACTTTTGAGGATGGTGATTTGGGTGATGCTGGCAGTGTTGGGAGTGGTTTGAGTGGATGGAAGGAGGGACTGCTGCTCTATCCGCCTTTGCCTCCGGGATCACCGGTTGTGGGGTTCGCATATTTGGGACTGGGAGGAATGGACGAATGTGCGGAGGCGGAGGATGAGACGGTGGAGGTGGAGAAGGGTGATTGGCGGATGGATGAGGTGGACCTTCATGAAGGTGAGTGGTTGGTATGTTTAGCCGGTGGAAGTGTGGGCTTCGCTTTCTCCTCCTTCTCATAACATCTGCCTCCAGTATTTAAAAGTTCGTGTCACGACACAGCCACCTCTGTTCACAAATCACCTAGCGCCATTATTTTGGGGGAGGCAAGAGGAGAGACTAACTTGGCGTCCCTTTGTCGAGGAGCAGTTGAAGTGTCCAGTCACTGGACGCAAGGTAGTGGTGGTCAGAAGGAACGTTCCTTTTTTTAAAATGCTGCAGGTGGTGGACACGCCTCCTCCACTTGGTAACACCGGAGGCATGCAATTTGGATGACGCCATACTTGTGACCCGATGCAGCAAAGTTTTTCTCCCAACCACAGTGAGTTGATATCGGGGAGAAATAGTTATTTCAATTCGTCATCGCATCAACTACTTTGTCATTTCTAGCTTAAAGTGTCCAGTGACCATTCATCTGTCACGACTCGCGTATGTGGCTTGATGAAAATCTCCTTTCTTTTCTCGCCTCTCTCTGTGCAGTCATCAGACAACGCTCTGCCACAGGGTGGAGGTCATTCGCCTTCTTCACAACACACTTGTTATTACATGGCAGAGGCATTTCATTTCACTCGGTCCGAACGATGAGGTGTTGTGTTGATTTGCATTGTAAAGAGATACACCAATCTGCCTCTACCATCGGAACAGACTGGGGCTGCAGGGTCGCAACACCTTCACAATCAGAGGAGGAGGAGAAGGTAGCGGTGGCAATGGCAGCGGCCACGGAGGCGGAGGAGACGGAACCGGAGGTACGATTGCGAGGCGGGTGTAAATCCACCGTCGAGCATCGTGGTTTTAACCATCGCTACCTCAATTCACACGGCTCGGAGTCCTCAGCTACCGCTATGCTCCCAACTGCACTCAGTAATGTCTCCTTCCACCCTCTTCACATCCCTACTTTGCCTTCGCCCACCAACACGCTTGACTTTGCGTTTTGTGTGTATGCGAAACAGGTCTGCGGCACTCCGTGTCAGTGAGCGATTTGGAGGTTCGGCCACCGAGCACGCACCTGGAGGCGTGGATGGGCGTCAGTGACGAACACTTGTTAATCTCACCCGCCGGTGATGAGGCACTGCCACTAAGGTCGCAGGCGAAGGAAGTACACTTGCTACGTTCTCTCTCATCTGGGGAGTTGCCACCACGCAGGAAGTGGAAGCACACGCAGTGAAGTGAGAAAAGGAGCGAAACCATCGCTTGCTTACTCTCCCTCTCTCCGTTGCTCTCTCCTCGACCACTACAACATCCTCGCCGTCTCCCACACGGTGCCTGTGATTTAAATAGGCTAACAAGAAACGTTATTTTGTGCCATCGACGAGATTGAATTGGGAGGGGGGACCATACGTCGGTCATTTTGTTTGATCCTTACCTCACCCAACCCTTCATTCAGATTTGTGTACCTTCTTTCCGTTCTTCCTTTCATGCAGTCGAAGGTGTAAATAAAGAAGTTATTGTTGCTGCTGATGAAAGTGGTGATGACGGTGATGATTGTGCCTTCACCCTGCATTGTCTGAATGTCGATAGAGGGACAGAATTAAACATCTTCCTTGTTCAAGCGAGGTTATCTAGAGGAAATTTAACAATCTGCTTTTGTCGTACTAGACATCTGAGGTGGGGTTTTAGGTGGGGCATGGGTGTTGGAGATTGCCTCGGGGTCAAGCAGTGTAAGGTCAACGTGTCAATGAAGGCAATTTCGAGGACAGCACACACGCACACACCACGATCATCACGACCTACGAACTGACGCTGCGACGCCGAGGCAACAGTTCCACTGCTAGCTTGCCCCACCACGACCACTAACTGCTTTACAAAGCAATTCACAATCATGTTTTGAGGAAACGAGTTGTGACTTGGACACCTGAACAGCTCAATGAAGGTTGGACTTTAATACAAACTAATTTTACTCCGCCCCTTTTTCTTTGCTCCATGAAGGACTCAACGAAACCGGTGGGTTACCACTACATGCCCCAACTCCTTTTCTCTCCCTCTCTCTCCATCCCTCCCCCTACCTTCCCTATCTGTTATCACAAAGTAGACATAAACAACCCACACGTGTGTGCACTCAATGCAGCTGACATCGAGAAGGGCAGTCAGTGGAAAAGGACATGGTAGTGGCTTGATCACTGCTCCTCTCCGACAGTAAGCAGATCATCCCTTCACTCTTCCAACGAGCAATATCATGCAACTCCAATGGACGAGAAAATCATGCAGAGTATATTAGTTAGCCAATCCATCCACAGCAATGATGAAAGATCGAATCACATTCAACCCTCTTCATTACCTTCCTCCATCCTCTCCCGAAAACAAGGCCACCTCCTGTGATGATGGTGAATTCATCTTCGTCAAAGTTGTTCACTTCAACGGCTTCTAAAAGAGGTAAGAAGAAGAAAAGAAGAGGGAGAGGAAAAGGAAGAAAGGCTAGCGGAAGAAGGAGAGGGAAAAGAACAATGAAATGCCCAGACGATCTTCAACTTCATTCAACTACACTACTTACAACTCATCGCCATTCAATTTCCACTGTCACAGTCATTTGTCGTAATCATCTGAAGCATTGTGCAACAACAAACTCAATACTACGAAGCTAACTGCAATTGCGAGGACCAAAAGCCTTCACCTCAACTGTAGGCACATTTTCGCGTTTCTCCCACCAAACAGGTGCGCAAAGGAAATGCATAAATAAGCATATGTAAATAAATACGTGAGAAAATAAGGAATGCGCAGAATGCACTCTGCGGAGGCCATTCTCTCCTCGAGAACGTGGACCGCACCCACCACAATTCATTGTCAGTAGATTATCCAACCACTCAATGAATTGCCACAGCTATTTTAAGCAATCGCTTGCGGTGTCGTGCGGCGACAACCTCAACGTGTTTCAACACTGCAAGTGAAAAACGAAAAGTCGTGACACAAACTGCAAACAGTTATGGGCGTTCATTCTTGAAGTTAACTGCACGAGAGGAAGGGTAGAAAGTTGGCATGCAAAAGTACGATTGGCGCGCAATGGTAAGCAAAAAAGGAGTGAGTACCAGGCACTCCAGCAAGCCAAAGACTATCCCACACAGTTATCGAAACGATAAACCATCTGACAAACCGCTAGTACAGCTGCACTCAACCCTGAGGGACCGGTGTACCGAAAGCTCATCGTGTTTAAGCGATCCGTTTACAAAGCAAATACCCCAGCACAAACCACAGCTCTTGCCTCCACCTTTTTGTCGACAGAAGGGAATAGACAACCAAGTACACGCAACTGATAAACCTACTTAGTAGCGAGGAAACAATGGATGGTTGCAAGACATCCATTTGTAATTGTGAGTGCTTAAAAACCTTACCCATCAGAGGTAAGGTAATGGTCCAATAGCAGGTCTTCAGCGTGGTTAAATCTATTCTCGATGAAATGGGCATCATGCCTCAAGTTCAGTTCCTAGTTCCATCACAATCCTCCTAACAAACGGTTAAGCAGATCTTAGTCAAACTCCATAATTGTTTGCAATAAAGCTATGAACAGGAGTAAGTAACGCAGTTGAGGAAAAACAGACCCACCGCCAAGTGAAGGTATCTTAGGCAATTCATTAACCAGAAAATTCACACTTAAATTGGAGTAATTAAGCGCAATCAAAAAACGCAGACATGTGGAGTAGTAACCGATGAATTAGCACCTTACAGTGGGTAAGGTCGAAGGTCTTTGGGGGATCGAAAAGCCACAAACATTTGTATTTGCTAAAATATTGGAGATGACATTTGCACAGCAGAACACCAAGAGTAAGTTGTAATGTTTTTATTCGACATCCATTAGAATAAATAAGTGCATAAAGAAAAGAAGGCAACTGAATATTCCGAAAATTAGATTAACCATTTGTTCGAATACTACGGATGCTTTTGAGATATTCAGCACAGAAAGTGGAATGCAAACTCATTGCGAAAATAAAGCACCACTAACTTTCAAAAACAAACGACTAACCTGCAAGCTTTATTGTACAAGATATTTGAGCGTAAATGCTTGCCTTGATTGGAGGTCTTAAGATAGCAGTTGGTATTTGCGTTTAATTTAACAAGACTGAAAAGAAAGCTGATCAACGACAGAAGTGCCTCGTAACTGAAATGGAACAAATGAAAATCATAAAGACTACGCGTCTCGAATTGCATCATCGAAAAATGTCGTTTAGGATAAATCATTCAACACTGGAATGCACACCAATCTCAAATTTCGGTATACACTTAAACGACTTACAGAAGCATCGTAACAATAAGATATTACTTTTGCCGAGCCATTAAATGTACGCAAACGAATCGAAATATTTTGCTTACTCATCTCCTGCATCGACGAACATGGATGAATGTGCAGCTTATGTTAGAAGAAATACCCGCAAATAATGGATTCAATAAAACATGACAAAGCTTGTCTGTAATTGTAGAGTCTCAAGACTTCCCATAGGATGGAAGAAGGTAGTGAGGCTGGATACATGTGTTCTGAAAAGAACAGAGCAAATGGACCTGAGCACGGCCGGAAGGTCAGTAAACGAATACAAGGGACAGAACAGTTCTAAATTGACCACCGAACGTCAGGTAATCACAAACAAATCATTGCAGCAACGTATTAGGATAGTACAGAGCAGTGGGCAGAGCTTTGCCTCGGCCTGACGTTTAACCTTGCAGCTTACATTTTGAGTACCAAAGCGGAAGCCAATCATGCAGAGTTTATCCATAGGAAGCCTTCAAGGTGCAAAACCACTTTTGGATGAATCTGACTTACCGAGTTAGATTAATGAATGTGGTGCAATCAGTACAGCGTATCCCCTTCCTCAGGAGCCTACGCGTGCATTAGATACTTTGGTGAAGACCATGAAAAATAGCAGCTAAACTGATCAGTTTTTATGGTTTGGATAGGTTTCTGTAGCGTCCTGAAGCTTCCAATGGGGTAGTAGAAGGCATAATTGCGGTTGAATACATGTATTCCGAAAGTAATAGGAGAAATGGGGCCTGAGTGTGGACAGAAGGCCAGCCCACGTGTACAGGGCGCAGACAAGTCCTAAAGTCACCGCCAAACGTCAGATAGTCACATAAACAAAGCATTACACTGCCTTCTCTTCTTTTGAGCGACATCCTCGGCGCTCCCCTTTGGTACACCTCCTGCTCCAGCCATCACAACATATTCGGTGCTACAGGAAAGCATCCACGAGCCAACCGCGCCATTCGACAGACAACGCGAGAGCGAGAAACCGTACCTGATCTTCTCGGCAGCTTCAACTGGGTCTGGAATTTCGTTCGGTCTGACAACCAGATTCAGGGACCACTGCATCTGTCGACCATCAATTGCTTCCAGAAATACACGGTGGAACTCAGGTCTACAA